GGCATATGCATATACAGTGTGTATGTACGGATCATTTCAATAAATTTGAATATAACCACAATATTGCATCAGACACAGGCCTGTCACAACAATAAATTGTCCCAGAAGTTATTGGAATAAACAATATTATTGTTATTTTCAGACCATTTTCAAGTAATATAATGGTAATGGCATAGTAATGCAAGCAACACATTCTCAAAGATCAATAAACTTTAAAGTCTGATATTTTAAATATCTAAAATAAATAAAACAACAGAAACAACAAATAAAACCCCTTATGAAATCTCTGTAAGCAAAATTGTCTTTCAGAAAAGGGCTAATTGTGACCAAAGCAGCAGACTGACATCCAGCTTTTAGTAGAAAAGAAAAATTTCCATTTGCATAAATCATGCAAATGGAAATTATTTAACTCATTTTAGTTTATCTTGCGATTAATTGACTTACTGTTTATTGCAAACTATTTTGTTCGATTACAGGTTCTGTCATGGTTTCTTAGTTTCAGAAACCAAAAACCATCTTTATTAGATTTAGTAAAGAAGAGTGCTTGGTATATGCATAGATTATTCCAGGATATTATCCTGTTTTTTGCAGTCTGAAGCCATTTCTGATTCATATTTGGGATTATGAACCTGTGGAATATGTTCTTCTATTTCATTTCTTGATCTATGTTTATTACGACATTGTTCTCAGATTTAAAAGCCTTTATTCTTTCAAACATAATTTTTGTCCTTGTAGTCAAATAACTTAAATGTTTCATAAAATGTTTCTCTGAATTTTCACTTTCACTGAATCTTTTCAGCTGTTGTTCTGGTTAATATTCAGTCAGTTCCAAACAGCAGTGCGTCCTTTTTAACACGGCTTCCTATTTAGCAGGTAAAAATAGCAAAAAACACAAGCTGAGTAACTTACTTAGAATATTCTGGAAAGGTCAAGATCCAGAGAAAGTCATTGTTCATTCTGAACAGTTCCTATCCACACTTCACCATTATTACAGCCTTGTATGTACAGATTTAGTAAAGCAGTTTTATTAGTTAGAAAACTCTACCCAGTCATTTATTTGAGAAATCAAAGTATCAAAAAGTTATTTAAATGCTCTGGATTATTTAATAACATTGTTTTTCACAAACTTGAAAGATTGAAGTTGTTTCATTTTCTGCATTGCCTCATTTTTGCAAATGTTGGTAGAAAGATTTTTTTCACTTCAAAGGAAGTGAAGTTTAACAATATTAGGAAAGCTATTCAGGCACATTTTTCAGAATTTGGCTTTTAATTTCTTTCACTGGATTAGAAATGAATCCAGTGAAAGAATCCACTGTGATTCAGGATCTGACTAAAACAAAAAACATTGAAAAACTTAGCTTCACTTAGGAATTAACACAAGACTGAATTTTTCAGTCTTAATTCAGCAGTCTGCACATTGCTGATGCTTTTCTGCTATGGTGTTTTATTCTCTATGTGTGATTCCATGTGGCAAATTGATGCAGGATTTTTGTTTTCAGTTCCAGATTTGCATTCCAGTTTGACAGTAACTGCCTCCAGCTCATCTAAACATCACTTCACAGAAAGAAGTCAGTACTCCTTTAAAGGAAAATGTTCCACTTCGCAGGAATCATCAACATGGATACCAACAATAGCATTTATAAATCATTTGCTTTGGTACTACTTAGAAATAGGCAGACATTTTGTTTGCTTGTGTTGACCCAGCCAGTAAATGTTGGGAGGGTAAAGATATATCTTGTTTAATCCGTAGCAGTCGTGGTGTTGTCGTTGCTGAACTCAGTTTAAAAGAATGGTCTTTATAGAGGAAGTGGCAGCAAAATCATATTTTTTAATAAACTGAGATACCAACAAACATGAAGGAGCAGTATCTGCTTAAAGCAAATTTTCACAAAGCAATTTATTCATAACCAAAGCAGCATGACGACGTAGTGACAAATACATCAACTGCGTCTTATTCAGTTTTAGTTGCTGTAGCGCCTATTGGCACATTGCTTACAGAAGCTTCTATTAAAATAATTTTCTTAAACATTGCTGTTAAAAAGTAGCTGCGCTGTCACTGGTTTCTTAAAGGTCGTGGACTTGGGAAATCACTAAAATTCAGCACAATTTGGCAAAAAAGCTCATAAACGAGCACGTTGTGTTCTGATCTGTGATCTATCCTGAAGTGTTTGAACTCTAACACTCTGTGAAAGGCTACATGCTCAACTCTGAAGCTTTAGAAGTAAGAAAGAAACAAAAAGTGCATCATAGGAGACGTCTGAGGCTGCTTACTGTCCAGAGGGTCTGGATCTTCTGCTACTGAGAAGCAATTGCTTGGTAAGGGTGTGGAAACTGTTGAACTTTTAAATTTTACCCAATCGACATTGTGAAGCTTGCTGGAAATTGCTTGTGCTGTAAGTAACCAAGAGAGAAGTACTGATCCGAACAAGATGGCTGTTGATTTCATTTTTGGGAGCTTGCCCATCAAGGACTGAACAGCTTCCTTTACTTCCTCTGCTGCCATTGCTAAAACTACAGACAGACTACAACTCTGAAACAGAGCAGCAGATCAACGTCAGTGTTTGCAACTTCTCCTGTTCACTGATTGGCCCAGTAGAAGATCTACAGAAGGAATTCAAGACAACAGGAGGAAGCCCAGAGTGAGTGAAGGGAGATGAAAATCGAGCTAAATTGCACTTTAAGGCTATGGCCAAGCTAATAAAAACTAAAACTAAACTAATCAGCCAAAAAATATCTTGATACCCAAGATATCTGGAAAAATATCCTTTGAACTATTAAGATAAAGACAGTTTTAAAGGTACTCACCCAACACATTTATTCACAAATAGAATATCATAACAGTTTAACACAATGCTGGTAATGTGATGGTCTCCAGTTGCTGTGTTGCCTCAAGTTCTGGATAACTTTCTGGGTTTGATTGTGGATTTAAGCACCTGTATTTGATTTTTTGTGCATTTTTGGCCTGAGAATATGACTCTGACACTGGACAGTTAGCACACCAGTTTGAAATGAAAATTTACAACCAGAAAACTGAAAGGATTTTATTCAGAAATACTGGAAGAGAATATTTCAGGTACAACAAAGGGCAGATTGAGCTGATTGTTGTTTCCTGCTAATGCCTCTCCTTGTTAACTCACCTTTGACCCTTCCTTCTTCACGTTGTTCTGAGGATCACAGGTCTGATTGGTTACACAGATATACACACAACATGCTGGTCTATGCAACATGAATTTGTGACACATCCCTGAGCTAAAATCAGCACCAATGCTGGAAGCAGAGGGAGATATGGCAGATACCGGTCGGTTCAAGTATTTTCTCACACTTTTCGAGTAGTTATTTTATAGAAAATAACAACTCATGCATTATAATTTATTCATTAAATTTTTAATAATGTAGAGTTACGGGTTTTCACTATTCAGCTCAACACGTGAATAAAATTGTATTTTTGAAAAACCTATCTTGGTCCAAACACATTCAAATTTTAATACATAATTTTTTTTCTGTCTATTTATTAATGTCTTGGTTTTAATTTATCATGTGATTAATTGATTTATTGCTTATTGCAACAGGTGTATTGCAAGCTGCCTTTAGAGGGTTTTATTTGATAACAGAGTTAATAGTGGATATTTTTGCTTTTAACCTAGCATAAAACAAAAGCTTTTCAAACTAACGCGAAAACCCAAATAACTACCTGGTTTACAGATTGATTGCACGCAGCGTTTATTGGTGACATTCAGTCAGAGTGGCAGCTGCCAAATTGAAACAATCGTTACAGCGTTGGTGCTTTGGTTTGTGATGTCTTAACAATCGGAGCATGAAGGGCGCTCATTGTTTGCTTCTTGATGAATGGACTTGCAAATCATAATGTTTGTATTACTGTGTGTGTCACAATCAGAGTGAAGGAGAGTTGAACTTAGTTCATGGGGAAAACACATTATTGTACAGTTGTTGATGCAATGCCTCCTCCCAAAAGCATTGAGTCTTGTGTTGAATGGCTTGGCAGCCGTTACTGCTTCTGCTCAGCTGCCTCACTTCATTTAGTTTTAATCTTCTGTTTTATTGTTTGTATCGCTTAAATATTCTTCCTTTTAACTTAAGTCTCTTATTAATTGGAAGATTAACAAAAACGTCTCTCAAAGTTGGATGCATATTGATTTATTAGACATTTTGTCCAAACCACAACAAAGATTTATTAAAGTTTTCCATCCACACAGTGCCATTTTACAGCACAGTCAACTAACCATGTTAATTTCAGTGGTTAAAAAAAATACTTTACATTTCAAACATGACTGAAACAAAATTTTACTTTGTATTTTAATGCCTTGAAACTGGGCTTCTTTCTCTTTGAAAACTCCTGTTCTTTCTGTTGCTCCACCTCCAGAAAATCATCATAACATGGCTCCTCTATTAACCTTTAACAATGTTTTTACCAGTGCTGCTCTGAGCAGCAGCTCCAATAATGAGCTCAGCAGTTCCACTTGCTATTTGCTAATTTCTGGTGGCTAGTGTGAAGGAGTTGAGTGAGAACAGCTCTGATTTTCATGTTGTCATAATTGATGCAAAATTGTTCTCTAATCACTCCTATATCAAAATTCGCAGTGGCTGGGAAATTCTGTTTACCCGTCTGAAGTTGCACATCGGTTTGTAGACTCTGGCGGAGAGGCGGAGGGGGGAGTTCATTAATGCTGAAACCGTTTACGGGAATTTGCTGCCCTTCTGCCCAGTAATAATAATAAACACACATCTGTTTCTGTGACCCTGAGGGGACAGCAGAGATGAATGACTGCAAGAGCATGAACTTCCTGTCCTCATAGATGAGAAAATGCATGTCATGTAAATAAAAGTGCAGTGTTATCTTTAAACTAAAAGCACCACAATATGTCCAGGGATTACTTTACAGTTAATAAGTCCACTCAAATTATATACATTTTTCCTTTATTAGAAAAGAAAATCAAGTTTATCTTGTAGTTGAAACAATTATTGCTCAATTTTCCGACTAGGTTCTCAACGTGAAGTGTTGCTTCTCCCTCCTTTAGAGACATGTGGATGAGCCTCACTCTCTCACTCATGGCTGCCTTGGCGCTGTGCACAGAGGTGAGTACAGCTCACGAAAATGCTTTTATGACTGAACATGGGACTTCACAGCTGTGTTTAATGGTAAATATAATGTTTTTGGTTACACTATATCCAGGTCTCCGTCCCTCAGGATGTGGGCTCACTGGATCCATCTGAAAATCCAGCAGAGAAGGCAAATTCCAGCTATGATGATTTATCTTCCCCATATGGACCTTCCAGACCTCAGATCTTGTTGGCTCAGTATGAATGTTACCTGAAGATAATTCACGAGCCACTTCGCACAGATGAAGGTGAGGTTGTCATTTGGCCAATTTGTCCTTGCAAATCTGGGCCATATCAAACAGAAAAATCTGCTTAAAGGCAGAGAAAAATAAAAGAAACATATTAATTTTATGAAATAAGTGATAGGTTTTAATATATAAATTTTTATCTGTGCTTTAAAGCTTCAGTATGTTACTTTTTAAAAAATTTGGGAGTTACTTTTTTCATGCCATGACCATATACAATGAGACAGGCAATCTGTGAAAAAGTTTAGCTCCTCTGCCTTCTCCCAGTGCAGTGCTCCCAATGCTAACTGGAAACAACCAGTCAGAGCCAGGAGACGGGTCTTAGTGCTGTCAATAACAATCTTGTGTGATTCTGCTCACCTCCCTACCCTCCACTCTCTGATGCCGATACAGCTTTTCACTATCAACAGATCTTGTTGTGAATGCTAGGCTAGTCATCTTAGCCACCGAGGACGGCGGCTAAACGGTTTTCTTGTAACAATAAATTGTTTCTCTAGCATTCGCACATTTAGCAGCAAGGATATGATGTTGATTGATAGCGCTAATCCCCTCCTCCTTGTTCTGATTGGTTGTTTTTGGTTGGGAGTATTTCATTTCTTCAATAATGGCTCAGGTTTGGGTGCCAAATAAAGGCACCAAGAGAGTTATCTTCTTGGTGTCTTTATTTAATATAATTGGTTTCAGTCTTTCTAACAAAACTCCACTTGCAAAGTTCTGGACTCTCTTTTATTTTGATGGAGTAAAATGTACAATATTGTTTGGATGAAATAAAGCGAAAGATGGTCACATGTAGTAAAAAAGCTACAGATGTTGAAGATAAGATTTAAGTTGTAGAAAATGCCATCTGTCAAGGTCATTTGTGTTTCATACCTATTCTTTTACTTTCCTAAAATAATTTGTTGTGCATGATTTTATAAGGCTTCTGACAAAGTTATTTAGTTTGGAAAAATATCAATCTGATCTTTGAATAGTTGAAAATTTTTTGGCTTGTTTAATCTAAAGACAGATGTAGGTTGGTAAAGAACCTGAACACACACAGATGCACCACAAACTCCAGAAACAGATGCATAATATATATTTTTTTAAATAAAATTTTGATTACATCAACTTTAATTTGGTTAAAGCATGAGATGATGCTAAAACAAGAGGAACTGTAACAAAATCTAGATGAGAGTCATACAGACCCACATCTAAGTGCTTAATGTTAAAGATCTTTTTGAAAATTTGCAAGACCATAAACTGAGGGTGTAATGATTACTGATAAGGAAACCAGGGAGCAGAAAGTGAAACCAACAAATAAAAACTCGACTCAAGAGAAAGGAAAAAAATAAAATAAAAACAGAAACCTGGGTGTAAGACAAAATACCAAAATGTCCTGTGTCCTGTGTTTACAGGACAATATTAAAACCAAATAATTACGAGAAAGACTCTCACTTTCACTTCCCCATGCCCTAGAAAGGGCTGACCGGAGCTGTAGCCCAGGGCCACAACTATTTTGGAAGGGTGAAGGGGCTCAAATACTTTTTTCTTTCAATTTTTTTAATGAATGTGTGTTTTTATATAAAACTCATGACCCTCAATCTTGTCATTTGTATTATTTTATGATTTTTATTCATTTGAAAAATACTAAAGTATCTGAAAATTATAAAGATGTAGTCAATTTCTTTAGAAACAACATGGAGTTATCAGTTACAGGTCTTGTTAGACGTGTAGCTAATATGCTTCAGTTCTTATGTGAAGGGCCATCTACTATACTGTAATTTGCATTAAATAATTTTCTCCTTGGTGAAATGCGCCCCATAACTATTTCCAGCCCAGAGGCCTACATCCTTCAAAACCCAGCCTTGGATGTATGATTTCCTACTTATTAGACAACCATGGTGTCCTTTCTCATTCAGTCAGTTAACAGGACAGGATGAGTAATGGTCTATCTTGGTCATTTGGTTTTCTATTAGAAAAAGGTATTAAAGTTATTTTTGTTTTAAAATACAAACAATAAAATTTAAATACAAAGTGTTTTACATTTTTAGTGTCAAAAGGGGATGAGTAGAATCTTTTTAAAATGATTAGATTTTTATTTTTTATTTTGACAAATAAGAATGGCCAAGAATGAAACATTTCATAACCATCTGAGAAATCCTGCAGCATTTAATGCATTTACACATTTTAATGTGTATCAGACTGTTTCTTTACATGCAGATTTCCATCCATTACTTGTCATCCTGTCAACCTTTTACCATGTAAAGTCAAGCAGAGAAGACAAAGAAATAGAGGCTGCTGGGAAATCTGCTCTGACCAAAAGGAAACTTGCCTTTTGTCTCTTTCTCGTTGCCCTCTTCTCCTGTTCATTGCCTTTCAAATGTTATGTTGTGCAGTGTTTCCCAACATGCCTCTGTGCAACTTTGCACTGGCAGGTTTCCGTCCATTGTTGACAAGCTTTAAGTGAGCGAGGATCTTTACCACACCATTGTTAAAGAGAGCATTTATATTACTTTTCCTGTTCATTTTTGATGTGCCTGCCCTTTTGGCATAGTTGTAAATCTAACCATTCTTGTCATTTCCAGGTTAGTCCAATATTAGCTTCAAGTTTTTCAGTGCTCAGTTTGTTTGAATCACCCTGGCTCTGAAAGGAGAACATGTCACTTCAATACTCTACAGTTAAGATTTGAATTTGGCCACCTTCAACCAAAACCAGGACAAAACATTTTCAAACATGACATCAACCCCTTTCTGTCTTTTACATTAAGTGTGCCTTGAGACTCTACACACCAGCTAATCCATTTCACATTTAATATGAATTTTGTTCTGAATATATAAAGGTTTTGGGTGAAAATGTTATTTGGATTTTTTTCTTATTTAATTCAACCTTCACTCATAAAAAAAAATAATAAATTCTAGCTTCACGTGATGGAAAGTAACGCTGCCATCAGCATCATTTTCTTGTTTGTTTGTTTTGTTTGGTTCTTGTGCCATACATCCCATTTGAAATTATGCCTCAAAAGGGAAAGTTTGGAAAATATTAACCAAGACTGGTCTCTCAACTCTAGTTCTTATTCCAAATATGTAGAAAATAATAAATTACCTTAAAAATGCCTGGACAAATAAACATTGACTGTCTTCACTGTACTACAGTATCTACAGTGATGCATTTCTGCAATGGTTTTGAGTCTATGATCTGTCTGTCAGTTACTGTTCTCTTCACTTTATGTTGTGTTTTCCATGTATTTATGTTGTTTTCAATAACATAAATACATACAATGTTGTTATTTTTATTAAAAAAGCCACTGTTCTGACTCACGTCTACACTGCTGTCGTTTCAGTTCTCGATGTCTTGTTCTCTGCAGGTCCTTTCTGTAACCGTACGTGGGACGGTTGGTTGTGTTGGGATGACTCGGTGCCGGGGACTTCTAGGCAGATGTGTCCTTCATACTTTATAGACTTTGACCCCGGAGGTAAGGCCTTCATAAACTTTGCATACATGTGTATTAAAGCTTGTTTTGCTTTGCATTTATCTTAGTTATATGGGTATCATGCTTCCTGGAAAAGCAATAACTACACTTTGAGTACACATTGCTGTTGACTGTGTGAGTTTTTCCTCATTTTTTACAACAGAAACAGCTACCAAAATTTGTAGTCCTGATGGCCAGTGGTTCCAGCATCCAGAAAGCAAAAGAGTCTGGACCAACTACACACTGTGTTCAGTAAAGAAAGACAAAGTCAAGGTAATGCCCTTTGTGCCCTGGGCAGTTGAAACTATATTAATCTATCTACATTCATGACTCCAGATGAGACACTGTGTAATTTTGATGGCCCTCCTTTTCCTAACATGTCATAATAGAGACTGCAAAACTCTCCCAGCTAAATCCATGTTTTTTTTGTCTTGTTGCTCGGCTAAAAGTTATGTTGTGCAGCTGTGTAGATTAACTTTGAGCAAACCTTTATTTTGTCTTGCAGTTTGCATTCAGTCTCTATTACCTGACAATGGTTGGTCATGGCATATCCATCGTTTCTTTAATCGTCAGTTTGATAATCTTCTCCTATTTAAAGTGAGTCTAAATTGTCTGATCCAATTCAACATCTATTTGTTGTGTGTATTTGTTTTAATGACTAAATAAATGTCACAGAGAAAAAATCAGATTCTATGTTTTTAAAAATATAATTAATCTGATTGCTTTCATCTTCTCTGTATTGTTTTTCTTTTTTAAAAGTCTTAGCTGTCAGAGGATCTCTCTCCACAAAAACATGTTCATCTCTTTCATCTTCAACTCTGTGTTTACCATGTGGTGGCTTTCAATTCACTCCGGTAGTAGTCAAATCATACGTGCCTACCCTGTGAGTTGATGAATTGCTTTATTTCATTACACCTACAAATTTGACTTAAATTGATTTGAAAAAAACATAGTTGCATACATTATGTAAGCTGGACTTATTGGTGTTTATAGAAGAGGTGCTAATTCGTAGATTTCTGTTGTACTTGGACTGATTTTAGTGGGTTTGTGTTTTCTATCAGTGAAAAATGTTTGAATTTCCTATCATCAGGTCAGCTGCAAGATTCTGGCTATTTTGGTTCAGTATACGTATACCTGCAACTTCTTCTGGATGCTGTGTGAGGGCATCTATCTCCACACGCTCATCATAGTGGCCGTCTTTGTGGGGGAACAGCAGCTGTTTTGGTACTATGTCCTGGGATGGGGTAAGTCTGGACCTTCTGGTTATCTAAAGCTGTTTCAGATCCACTTCTTTGCATTAAATGTAAGATTTTCACAGAAAACTACCTTAAATAATTGATTGATCAAGGCTTTAAGAAGGACAGAAGAATTGCATGTTTCTAATTTGTGCATCGGACTTGACTGTGGTAGTTTTTACACTGCAGTTTCCATTCCAAAGAATTTTAAGGCAAAATGTCTTTGAATAGGAATGCATTTAGCTGCTTTTTAAGTTACTTCAGACTCTAAAGACAACCTACATAAAAATAAAGCTATTTCCATAGTCGAAGTTAAATAGTTCAGCTTTTCCATATTCGAAAAGTTTTACATCAGCTTCGAGGAACTATGTGTACATTTTGAATTTGACAACCAGATTGCTCATGATAAACGCTCATGTGGCTGTTATCATTCTGTTTTAAAGGACGTATCTTGACCATGCAGGGACATAAAAATGAATCACTCACATCACTGTAAATAGTGATGTGAGCTTTTCTGTTTGATCCAGTTAAAACAGTGCTGCAGAGTTTTGGGCCAAACAAAGGTGATCAAGAGCTTCTTTTTGTTTATTCATGTGAAAAGTGTGTTGTATTAGACTTGTCGAGAGGAAATAACAGCATGAATAACTGTCTGAGGTTCCCATTTTTACACCAGCCTTCATATCTCAAATGATAAAAAGCGGACAACTTTACCTTCTTGTTTTGTCTTCTGGTTAAAGCAAAACAAGCTTTAATACACATGAAGTCCATTGAAATGTTGCGAGGTGTTTGAACATCACTGCTTGGCAATCAAATCCTCTTGGGTTTTTAAGTTTACCAGCAGTCATTGTAAGTTTTCCATCTCATGTTTATAATAAGAATGATAAAGCAGAAGAAGCTGCCATCTTGCGCTTCTGTCACATACTCCAGAACACTTGGTAAGTCTTACAGTACATTTGTTTGTGCCTTAGCACACCTAATTCAGGAGAATCAGGAAAAATAAAAGTTGTTTGGGATCATCCATGATGCCAAGAGCAGAAATATTCTATCAAAAAACCAACAAAACAAAAGCAGAACACCCTGGAGGAGGTAGCATCCAGCATACAGAGTTCCAGCATACAGAATTACTGTTCAAATCCTCCTCAAGACTTTTCAGACCTCAATTCACAACTGTGATGAAAAAAACTAAACACTGAAGTTCACACTTGATTGAAGACTTAAATAAGTTAAATAAGTTAAACTCTCCTGAAACAGTTCAGAGAACCATCTTAATGTCAGCCTGTAAAGATTTAGTAACATCGTTTAGTTAAACTTAAGGGAAAGTTTAGCATTTACCCTCAGATCTCGGCAGGATATGATGAAGAATCATAGAAGAGAATCTCAAAAGAAAATTTCATTGAAACATTTATTTAACATCACATTTGTAAGGAGGTTCAGTTTTTTCAACCTGCTTGACTGACAGTAGTGAAAGGTTAAAGCAGTGGCAGGAACAGACTTCTCATCGCGGGAGCTATGAAGATGGATACAAGTAAACATGGACTATATAAATGTTTGATACCTCCCAAACCTGATACTTCACACCAGCTCTACATTTACATTAGCAGTTATTACACATAAAGACCTGGACTACCTTTAGTGCATCAAGAGCATACATTCAGCATCATTCAGCACAAAGATGTGACCTTGGTGGTCGAGTATGCTTCTCCTTGTATAAGTGTCTCTTCAGATGAGGCTCTCTGGTTCCAGTTTTTCCTTCACATGACTGTTGGGGCGATGTTACTGAGCTGAATAAAAAGCACTGTGTGTTTCTCCTTTTAACCAGCTTTTGGAATCAATACACATGGAAATCAGCTTCATCTATCAAATTTATTTAAATGGAAGATTGATATAACTCAGTCTAAACAATTGTTTAAATCAACAATTGCCAAAATAGAAACTGAGACACTAATTTATAGAACAGTAAAGTGAATGTTTTGAAAGATTCAGTGTTTCCTCTTCACTTTTTAATCTACATTAAGCTACTGAGCAACTAACCTGAGTTATTATAACTTCCACCAGCTTCAACAGGAATTGGTGGGATGATGTATTTCTAATGTTTGTGGGATTTTTTCTGTGTTCATAGTTTTTCCCATCATTCCTGCCATGACATATGCTGTTGCTCGTGTATTCTACTATAATGACTGGTGAGTGTCTTTTTCTTCCTGTGCCCTGTTTCATTTTATTAACTGAATTATGATCAAAGCCACCCCAAAATGTCATATTTTATCACAAGTCATAATGCCTCAGATGTCACAAGTTATGCGGGAGCGTGCCATTGACATTGCAGGGACCAGAGCAGTAGCTGCACGTCTCTATGTCCATTATTGGACCATTGGCCGCTGAAGAGTTCTTTTCCAACAGACTGGCACTACTGCAAATCGACCTCCTCGTCGTCGGCCACATGCGACCACTCCAGCAAAAGATCGCCACATCCGGCTCGTCCATCTGCCGGATCGGCTAAGACCAGCGACACACACAGATGATGATTCTACTGATCTGCACAACAGACGCATCACTCCTCAGACTGTCCGTAACAAGAAGCCAACCTGCATGTTTGGCAAATTCTTCAACCTGAGGAATTTATCATGTTCAAAGGACTGTCAATCCACAACAAATGACCGAACCACCATGTTATCAATACTGATATGAAGATCACTAATAGTTTAAGTTTTTTCAATATATTGCGTAACCCAGATGTTTATATTTGACATGGGGCATTTATATTTTCGTTTAGTGTAATAAGAGTTACAACAACATTAATCTCCTTTTGAGAGCAACTAAGTACTTTTGTATTTGTATTAATTGAGTTCTACAGCTGTCATCTGAGCTGACGGAACGGTCTTTTCTGTTAACGTATCAAAGCTGCAGAGCTTTACCTAAAATGCCAGCTATGTTTTCTCCAGGTGTTGGATCAGTTCACACTCCCAGCTCCTCTACATAATTCATGGGCCCATTCATGCTGCACTCTTTGTAAGTAGTTATCAGTGTTTTTTCTACATATTATCAAGCATTGTTTTATCATATAAACACTGATTAGAAGTATTGGAGCTACATGACCTTTGTTTGAAATTGATGGGAAATGATTTGGGCATTTCAGTAGTCGTTCTATTTTTTCAAATCAAAACAATCCAATGAAACAAAGGCCAGACATCATCTGGACCAGTGGTCTCAATGCATCTTGACTTTTACTGAAGCAATATTGTGTTTTGATGGATTAATATTCACTATGTAAGCCTAGGGCCTTGTATTAACCTCTGGAAAGGTTGACTGCTGAAGGAGTTGAAAACAACAAGGGCTTCTGTACTATTTCTGACACCAGAGCTGTACAAAGTGTTCTTATCCATTGGCTGGTGTGTCAACCTTCTGCTCCACTATTTTTTCAATCAACAGATGTTGATTTGGGAGAAATTTCTTCAAATTATGTCCAACCTCTGTTGGAAGTAATCCAACAGAGGCTGTTCCTCTACAATGAATGCCTGCAGTTCCTCTTGTATCTTTTTGTCAATTCACTTGAATTGTCTTCCATCCACCCAATCAGGTAAACCTTTTCTTTCTCCTGAACGTCATCCGAGTTCTCATTACCAAGCTGAGAAAGACTCACTGCACTGAGTCTACCGCCTACATGAAGGCGGTGAGAGCCACGCTCATCCTGATCCCTCTGCTGGGAATTCAGCACATCCTCATGGCCTGGATGCCAGACATAAATGAACACCAAGTCATTTACGTCTTTGTGACTGTCCTTTCCAACTTCCAGGTACATACGTGATATTTTTTAAGCTACTTTTCAGAGTTACAATCTCTTGCACAAGTATTAACATCAAGCTTTTCATATTTTATTGCTGTATATTTGCAAACTTTAGTGTCTCATGAGGAATTTTGCAGGATTCGCCCCTCTGGATGTCAATAAATCAATTAAGGTCAATAAAATTTGGGGTTTGACAAACAAATTACAAAAAAACAAAACAAAAAAAAAACAAGAAACAAAAAGCTTTTAATGTCAAAGTGAAAACTAATTTCTGGGGGGAAAAAAACAAAAAAAAAAACAATTCCAGATTTGCAGGGCTGATCAAGACAGATCCACACAGACTCCGTACCAAAGGTACATCAACTAAACACTGATTTGAAGAAGGTGAATATTTATTCCCCAATCACTTATTTTATGTCAAATGGTTTTTATTTAATTGTCATTAGTTTGTACAAAGGGGCTTTATGTAATTTTTTGGTCAAAATAGCAAATTTTGACCAAAAATTTATAAAAACAATAAAATAATGTTTTTTTTGTAAATTTAATAAAACACAAAGGAGGCTGTATATGATAAACCAAGAAAAGCAATGCATCTTTATAAAATGGATGGAAAACGATAAATGATTTTCAAAATAGGGATACGCAGTGACAAGTCTGACCTTTCTGAGATCAGTTATATGCAGACACATCATGGACTTGACTCTAGTGGGGATTGCATCATTTAGGCATTAGCAAACAGCTGTGAAATACAGAAATACCCACTATTTCTGTATTTAGTGATGTTTTTATACCATTGTTTTTGCACCCCCTCTTACGCAGCCCCCCTATGGCACATCATGCATATTCACTTTTTGTGCCATCGCTCATTGCCTTGCAGCAAAAAGGATTTTGAAACATAACTGCAGGAATAAACAGACAAATGAGAACAGAATTGGACTTTTATCAGAAACCAGATCTGTCTGGTGGAGACATTCCTAAAAGGAGGCTAAATACAAATATCCATAAATCCAAAGAAAATATGTTAAAATTTGAGGCAATAATACAAGCCATTGTAGTCAAAATATGCATAAGACTTTCAAAACGTCTATGCTAAAATCCTCCATTTATTTGTATTGCACATGTAATCATTTAACTTTGTTAAACAAAATAAATGTATCATTAACTTTCTTCAAGCACAGACCTCTGAAATAATTGAAAAGGAGCAAACAAATATATTTCCCTGAACTTGTTAATTTGCAGAAAATTACACCAAACATGTTTAATGTGGTTTATGTAATGAGTACTAAGTACTTAATTTTTTAGTAATTAATTAGCTTTTTCATGTGTTTTTGCATTAATATGATCTTATTCGTATCTATTATGAATTGTTTAATAAACTGTCTCTTATTTTGTAGGGACTCCTTGTGTCAATTATTCTCTGTTTCTGCAATGCAGAGGTATGTTGATCTTTCTATTTCAACCTTATTCAATTCTATGAAAAAATTATTCAACTTTATCGAATAGAAAATAAGAATCAAATTACCTATAATCGTTTTACTTAATTTACTTTTATTCTTTATGTGTATTTCTGTATATCTGCACGTTGCTCAAGATTTTAAAAAATGGTTTTCAAGACAAAAATCATATTTAATGCATTTTGCCATGGCAACCCTTGTTGCTTTCTTACTGGAATTGAATTAATTTGAGTTCATGTTTTACATACTCTCACTTAGTTTACACATCTTTTACCACTCAAGAGTTCCCAAGCACACTTCCACAAAGCTGGATGTCATCAAATTCAGAGGGTTTCCCAAACTACATTTTTTAAGTTTTACATCATGGCTGTCTAAAACTGCAATCCAGAAACATGTGCTTGAATTTCATGTGCAGGCACAAACAGCGATGCGCAGGAAGTGGGTTCAGTGGAAGATCGCCTGGGGGAAAACGGGTTTGGGAGAAACTCCGTTTGTCAGCCATCACTTCAACTGTCACACTACCTCCTCCATCATGGAGACCAGCCGTGCCACTGGCAGCACCGAGGTGCCCGCCGAGGTGCCTGCCGAGGTGCCTGCCGCGGCGCAGTCTCACCAACAGACGGACCCCTGTCACCTCGTGCCTGTGGGGCAGCAAAAGACAGGATAAGGATGTACAAACCAAGACCTGAGCTGTGACCTCCGAAGCAGGTCACAGGTCAGTTGCTGTGGTGTCCAACAACTAAAGCACTCAACATCTGAAAAAAAGAAACTAAAACTTATTTACAAAGTAAATGGAAAGTGATTGCTTTGTATGTACATAAATGATATTATATGAACAACCTGATATTTTTACACCAGTCAAGAACTTGTAGGAAGACATTTATCATTGTGCCATTGTATTGTTACTGTGCATTTTAATAGGCAGTGCATTATTTTTCTTCTTGTTTTTAACTAAAGTTTCTTTATACTACACTTGAAAATGCTACTACAAAATTGTGCATTATGCAGATTGTGCGTTCTGTAGCCTTTCGGAGCTTTTACATTGTCTGGTGTAAGTATTTTGAACTATTCACATTTTTCTATTTTACAACCCAAATCCTCAGTGAATTTTATGTGACGGATCAGCACAAAGTAGTCCTCACTTGTGTATAAAACACATCAAACTGTGCAGTTGCAGCATGAGAAAATGTGAAAAGGTTCAAGGGAATTCAAAAGTCACATTTTTATCTGCAGGTATTTTCACTTCAAACAATGTTCTGCTTTACTTTCCGTTATTTAAAAAAAAAAAAAAAAACATGGATTGCAACTTGGAAATGTCCAGCTCCGACCCGCAACCCACAAAAATGTTAGAGACCTCACTAACTGCCACAACACACACACACACACACACACACACACACACACACACACACACACACACACACACACACACACACACACACACACACACACAAATTCATATGTCTTTCAAAGAGACAAGAGTTGCACAGATCAGAAATTGGTGGCTGGTTCGAATTTCATTTTGTGAAATTGTCTACATCAATTTAGCTTTTCACAATTTCCTTTTAAAAATGGGTAATACATTAATATATGGTAATAGCTTCATCTTGCTGCCAGAAGCAATTATCAGCTACTTATTTTTTATTTATCTATTTTTTTTTAGCATTTTTTTCTCCAAAAAGTTTTTGTGGTGCTAGTGGGTGCGCCACCACAGCATGCCCCATCAGCTACTTATATTAGTGAGGCTACTGCATGCGAATGTTGGTGATTAGCACAGTGAGCATTGCTAAAATCACAGTCTTTAGAGAATTTGGATTCTTGCCTTAACTTCGCCTTAAGATTTCTTAAATTCTCGGCTGACCAGCAAAAAAATGCTGGTAAGATTTGAGAAACATTCCAAAATAAAAAATAATATCCAAAGAAAAGTCAATATCATGTTGCTTGATGTTTATATTTTAAAACTGTCATTAATGTGTGGAAATAAAGATCTAAGTCTTAAATCAGCTTGTTGCTCACATTTTGAAAGCTCAAAAAGATAAAATGCCAATGCTGTACTCAGTTCAGCCTTCCTGTTATCAGCTTTAAATCTTGCCCTCCACAACCTGACCTAACTTCAAATCTTTCTAGACTGGTTTTTGAAAATAGAGTTTTATTTCAAATAACTTATATAGATCTCTCTGTTTCCTTTGGCTTCATGGTAAACACCCCTCTGATAATGAAAATAGCTAATCGCTTAGCTTCAGTGTCCACATCACAGTGTTATTAGCACAAGCCTGGTGATGGTAAGCCTGGTGTGTTCACTGATTGAAAACAAAAAAAAAAAGCAGGAATTTAGACAATTCTGGTCATCAGAAAATTTCTCTCTGCCCTTCTAATCCCAAATTGTCACTGTAAAGTACCCAATAAGGCACTGTGTAGGTTTAGTCTTAGGTTATCGGTTGAAAACTCTAAACCTGGAATGAGATGTTTCAGCTCTCCTCTTTATGTCTTATTGAAACAGTTGAGTGAAAGTTGTTTTTAACTGGATACTAACTCTAACCAGCTTCCTGGACTTTAGGTCATTTTTTCCCAAAAGCTTAGCACAGCTTTTCTCATATCTGCTTTGTTGTAAAATAGATATTTTTTACCTGAAGCCATTAACTTGGACAGCAAACTGAGTAACACAAGCCAATTTTCACCATAAACTAAGGCAGTTCAGTCTTGATTTGGTATGCGAGTCAAGTTGAACTTTTAACTGAATGTGTTTACAAGTAGGCTCTGTTGTCAACACAATAAGTCTTATTCATAACATATCCAGTAACACCATAGCTTGGGTTTAAGTGCAAACCCATAATACTTGCTTGATTTGCCAACACCTACAGTTTATATTATGTCATAAGTGTTTTTGTATTGCTGTAAAAAATCTGAATTTGATGCAAGACTTTTATTCTAATAATAAACCTCACAGACTTTTTGTCAGTATAGTTTTTTCTTTTTCAATTTTTACATCAGCACTGCAAGGTTTGTGTATATGTTTTATATTTCAGATGCCTTTAAATGTTGATACTACTATGTTTGCTGCAAAATATTTTTCTACAAATTCAAAAAATATACAATTTTGTGACACCCGTGGAGTTTTATTTTCATACATTTTTCATGTTTCATGTTGTATATACACTTGCAATACTACTACTCTTTACAAAATTTTATTGTAAAACTACAGAAGTTTTAACACGTTTTCTGTCATTGTAAGCCAGATGATGCAAAAAATGCTGGTCAGCCGAGAAACAGATTTGAGAAACATTCCAAAATAAAATATAATATCCAAAAGGTCAATATCATGTTGCTTGATGTTTATATTTTAAAACTGTCATTAATGTGTGGAAATAAAGTTCTAAATTTAAAATAAAATTTCCTATAGAGTTTAGATATGGGAAATGAAGAGGACACAGATTAAGGACGATTTTGTGTCTACTGAAAGTTTTGTATTAATTTCAAATTAAAACGCAACTTCAAGGCAGAGCAAAAGGTTGAGGTCCCACCGAGATTTGAACTCGGATCGCTGGATTCAAAGTCCAGAGTGCTAACCATTACACCATGGGACCAGATGATTATACTTCCTCGACTTTTAACACCATATACACCCAAACATATATGTGTTAAAAGACTATATGTCTGATATATTGAAATAGTAAATCAATTTACGAAGACATCACACCGCATGACTGGTATTTTGACGGTACACGTCACATAATGCCACGTATCCTTAAAGCAGCTCAGCTAACAGTAAGTAATGCTACGATTTCTACAGCGATACTTCTCTATCTGCTTCGTGTACTCAGAATTTAGAGACAAATTGCTTAAGATACCTGCTCTTAAACCTCTAACACTTTTTCGAAGCACCAGTAGAAAAAGTATGAATGATCGACGTTTTTAATTGTTTTTTATTTCAGCATTTGACTCCGGTGGCAGTGGTGTCCCTAGCTTCAGTCGAACACCAAAAGCGCATTGTAGGTTAATCATAAAGGGAAACAAAGGTCCATTTGGCTACTTAAAATATACCTTCAGCAATGTTCTGCATACAGCGACTTAGCTCAGTGTATCGGTTGTCACCATTTTGTGGAAGTTGCGAAGGACTTGCTCGTGTTAATGCAGTTACACTATTTACCTCCAGGGGGCAGCAGATGCTTTTATATTAGTGTGCATTAAATTAAAGATGTAAAATTTTGACGCTCAGAATGGCTGTGTGATTTGAGGCCCTTACAGTATGAAGTGGAGTATCACGGGTACTTTTGGTGTTGATGAACTTTTAAGTGTGTTTGAATATTGTATAAAACTGTTGTGGAAAATATCATGAAAACATGTCAAGAATATATTTACCAAAGCTACAGTAATATACTGAAAATAAAAGTTTTTCTATAAAGGTAGCAGGAAGTGATGGCAATAATCTGTTCCTCAAAATCCTCTAATAGTTTTATTCTCATTTTTGAGGGCTACAAACAGAGAAAAACATTGTCACATTATTGTCATTATTCATGAAACAAAGATAGGTCAGAAATCAAGAGTTTTTTTACACAGTTTAATTAAAAGCCTTGTAGAACCATCTTCAGCAGCAGTACCTCTCAGAAGTTATGCTCTCTATAACTTAATCAGTCTCTTAAATTCTAATGCAGATTTTTGACTCACTGCACTACCAACATCTCTTTGTTTCATTAAAGGTTGTAGTTTCCTGCGTATTCCATTTTTATCACAATGCATTCTTCCATTCTGTAGAAGTCAAATTTCAGATCGCTTCACATTCGAACTCTTTGATACATAGAGAAGTTTACGGTCAACTCTGGATGTTCTGATAAACCTTTAATGCTGCTTTGCAAATCTAACTCATGCAACCATTTTGGGTGTGTTTGTTTGGACAAACTCCTTGGTAGATTGAGAACTCTATTATATTTTCCCTTTGTCAGGAGTCTGTTTTAGGACAGACTCCATAGGATAATGGACTTAATTGACTTAATTAGATTCATGCACACAGGTGCGCTTTAGTTAGCAGTTCCTTCCTGCTTTAATTTCCCTCTTAAATCCTGTGAAAGCTGCAAGGATGCACTTTGTTGTTTCCACATGGAAATAGGCCATTTTTACCTTAATTGTTGAGTAATGAATAATGGACAGTGTAAAATACATTGAGTGTGTTTTCTAAAATTTGAATAATTTTAGAACCTGATTATTATTTGATGTGAAAATACTCACTTATGCTTTTAAGTTATGAGGTGCTTCCTTTTAGGTATTTTTGTATAGTTAGTGTTCATACTGCAGCACATATTAATAAATTAAAGCTAAATATCTACTTTCTTTTCTGCAGTGCACTCCAAGAAGTGTGACTCTTCATGCTCCGGTGAATAATCCCAGACTGTAGCTGCAGACAGGCCTGGCTCTACGGCTCCATTCAGCTATTGTTTAACTCAGAGGAGCTGCAAGGACACATTAACCTAATGTCCCACAGCTTAGCCTGTACTAACAGCTTAAAGCGCCCACACTCTCGTCTGTGTCATCACAATCCCTGACACGTGAGAAGACCCCTCCCACATGACCTGACGCCCCCTTGGGCCAGCAAACAGTGCATGCACATGCACATATAATTAAGAAGACGGTGAGAGTTTGTGAGAACACGCATGTAGTCATGTTTAATCAGCACAGAGGGAAATCAATAATGTGCTGGACTTTGAGAAGAAGAATCATCATGCATCATGTCAAAGCTGGAGTTACCCAAATGATGAAGTTAGATTTTTTCACACTTTGTGGAAAAGGAAATTAATTTTCTTCTTCACTACCTGACTTTAAATTACATTAAACCTTTCCTGTTCAGTCAGAATTACCCAAAATATTTAATTTTGCTTAAAGTAGTTGGAGAGATTCTTTCATCATTTTAGGTCCTCATGTATCATCATGAACACACTCAAAATTACTTTTATTTGAAAAAATGTGAAAGTAACTAGAATAATACTACAAACTCTCATAAAGTAGACAATGCAAATGCAAAATAAAATAAAATTAAATTAAAAAAAACAATTAAAATAAATTGCACCAATGGTCAAAATATATAAAATTATGTCTTACTATCGAATTTTCCTGACTATAAGTCGCAGTTTTTTTCATAGTTTAGCCGGGGGTGCGACTTATACTTTGAAGCCATTTATGTGTGAAGTTATTAACACATTATTATATCATATCACATGTCATTTTCACACTAAACAGCAAGAGGGCGCTCTAGGCCTGTGTTGATAATGTGTGTGGTAGAAGCTACCTCTGGAGTTACAGGAGTTGTTTACAAGCGACACCGAAGATGAAGTTTTAGTGATTTGGAGTGACACAAACAAGTGACACTAACAAGTTTGGTAAACTTGTTAGCATGTTATTTATGCTATAGTTATCTGAATAACTCTTAATATGTTATGTTAGCGTAAGACGTTCTCAGTTTGTCATGCGTCATGTAATGTTAGTATACCATACTACTCAGCCTGTTGTTGCCTCTATTCCATTTTTATTTTAAATTGCCTTTCAACATGACATGTCTGTTCTTGGTGTTGGATTTTATCAAAAAAAATTCCCCCAAAAATGCCACTTATCCTTCAGTGTGACTTATATATGCTTTATTATGTATTCTATGGCTGGTGTGACTTGTACTCCGGAGTGAATTAAAGTCCGGAAAATACGGTAGTTACATTTTGTATCAAGACAAATGTCACTGCACAACTGTCAATTAACTTCTAACTGTATTAGACAGTTTACACTATTACACTTCAAGAAATACAAATTAAATTGCAAAACTGGTGTAAAAAACTGATATTTTGGTTAAAGAACTAATTTTCAAGCAATAAAGACTACAAATGGAACTGCACACTGTTTAATGGTGTAGCAGCTCATGCCACCCTAGAGGAGAAGTCGCCCTGGGAAGCAGCCCATATCGTCTGAACCACAAGCGTTACTGCTTTTGTCATATTACGAAGAGAATTTAGAGAAACCAGGAAAATGTAACCCATGTGACCGACATGACCCAATCACCTTCCCTTTAAGCCCATCCCTTTAAGTTCATTGTCATGTGTGTTCCGGGTTGGCTGCTGCTCACTGTTGGTTGTCGCGTCCGTTGTTGATAAAACAACTTGAAGTTATAAATCGACTCATCACTCATTTAATCTAAACTCAACTTTGAATATTACTGGTGAGTTGTTAAATACGATCTGACTTGACGTATTGTATCTGCAATAATAGCGCCGCTAACATTCCCTCCCATTGCAATATTCGCCCATTAACAGCTGGAACCTTCCTGAATTGAACAAGTTACCATTGCATCCACCTCCTCAGACAATCCGTTACTCGACGGTGAGTAAATAACAGTCATTTACAGTAGGCCGTTACTTTTGCTACGCTCCGCCAGTTAGCATTAGCTACCAACTCGACAATCAGGGGCCACATCATTTAGTCTATTTATGAATTATTTACTTAATGACAAGTCACACTGTTTCAGCCGAATTAAAGACTACCCCTTTAATACTTAAAGGTTTCCCTTTTAACTTTAGATTTGATTATTTTTCATGATTTCTTTGTTGGTGTTGTTTTCTATGCTGGTGCAGCAATGAAGTCTGGTATCCAACATGATTTGTTGTAGCTACTTTGATCAATCACATTTTTAAATTGATTGATTTTGATTCAATATTAGTTGTTTGCAATGACTGCTAATTATGTCAATTAAGAAACTTTGAACTTGAATTATGAAGTGCACTTTTTAAAAGGATTTTTCCCTTATAATGAAATTATCAAAACATAGCACGTATGTATTTGTTTTTTTACTTGTATAAATGTAAAATTTATATATGAACTTAATGTGTGTTTGCTGGCCTTTTAGGTCAGGTTTTTTTTTCTTCCGGACTCCTGCATGGATACATTGGATGACGGAAAATGGCGAGCTACCCACCCACCATCTGGTGGTAGGAAACAGAACTACACTTTCCATATAGGAACTGAACAGACTCTAAGGAGTATCAAAAAAAGGGAAAATAACTATTCTCCCTTCATTTTTGGACCTCTTGTGGACTCTATTAGGTTTTGAAGTGTCACTGACAAGTGCTTTGTTTGTTTTCTCTTTTCCTGTTTTTTGAGAACTTTATTTATTTATTTTTTTGTTTTGGTATTATCATTATTATTATTATTATTATTATTATTATTATTATTATTATTATTATTACTATTATTATTATTGCCACTGCAATAAATAGCAGTATTAACAAACCTTTTTTGGCATCAATTGTATTAATTATTCACCCAATCATGACTCCATGTCGTAC